TAGAAGGAATGATTTCATTACTTTCAGCATCTGCAAATTTTGTCACTGAAATCCTCCTTTGGGTTCTAAAGCGAAAGTTTTTGCTGACAGTAAGGTTAGTCAGCCTGGAGTAAGATTGACACCACTTAATCAGTGTAGTTTGTCCCATATAGCTCAGCTGGGAGTTGGTGGTGGTCGGGTAATTTGGTAGGTTTCTGATGGTTTGGGGTTTTTTTAATAGTAATTACTAGGCCTTTGACAAGAAGGAAGCAAGGATTTGATAGAGTGTACCACGCTCAAGTTTCGTTTGCAAAACTTGCCATAATAGCATGCTATCGTGGATAATTGAAAGCAGACTGTAGCTACCTACCTGTGGAAAGTACATTTTACTCAGTCTTTTTTTTTTCACTTTTTTACCTGTTAATTAGAAAACTCATTCCTCAGTACATCAGTCATTGTAGTAGAGTTGGAAAGTTCATCATTTTATCTTTATTAAATTAATGTCACCAATTTTTTTTAATATATGTTAGCAAAATCTATATGAAAGTAAAATACTAAATCATAATAAACTTATATTCATGTTGTACTGGGATTCAGTTTATTTGTCATCACTGAAATTTGGAAGAAGAGTAAAATATTTACTGGTTAGTTTGGGGGGGAAAAAAAAAATTAAAAATCTGCCAGTATAGGCTTTCTTCCTCTTAGGAAGAAAAAGGCTAATAAGTCATAGGCTAATAATTCAGAATCCACCAGGCTTGTGGCAGCTGTTCCTATGCAAATCGAAACCCTATGTAAAATTAGATCCCTAAAAAGGGTTGAGGTCCCTGGCACTTAAGTTGAAAGAATGATAGATTAAAAAGGCAATCTTGACCCTGTAGATTCCCATGGCCGTTTAAATGCAATCTTACTCCACTTCTTAAAAAGTGAATAAATGTAACAATTTTAGGAAAGTGGGCTGGAAATTTCCTTTTTTCCTTCCTTCTCACTCCAGGTGGTGGTTTCGACTGTGTGATATGATTTTTAGGTTTTGAGATTGGTTGTGGGGATTTTTTGTTTGGTTGGTTTGTTTTTAATTTTGATAAATGTGTGCTTTTTTCTTTTCTTCAGAAATCTTTATCCCAAATTTGCGTCACCCTGGGCATCGTCACCTTGTCGACCTCAAGACATAGGTAAGAGAGAAATAACTATTTAATTCAATATTAATATTTGCAAATTATATTCATTTACATGTCTTAATAGTTGCATCAATTCCGATTCTTTTTTAGACTTCCATGTTCCATCTGAATACTTAACTAACATTCACATTAGGGATAAGGTGAGTACGTGTGTGTGTGTGTGATTATTTTTTGTCAATTTATTACCGGTAATTTTCTAAATTTTCTTTCAGATAGGTAATGTTCAAAATCAGGGCATTTTATCTTTTTAGGAACAGTGATGCATTAACCAGCTAATTGGACACATCGTACACTCATTCCACATTAGAAAAAGAAAGAGAAGAGTAAACCGAGAATGGGCATGGTTAGCTAAAGGACACATTATGTTTTTAAGAGGATGCCCTTCCTGCAAAACAGAAGTTTGTTATACTCTGTATACTGTAATATTCAAATGCCATATTAAATTAAGATATTTCTTCTTGAGATAAGCTCAGAATTACAATTCAAGATATTCTCATGTTTATCTGTTGCCTTCCATATCTACATGAATAGGGATTTTTTTCTTATGTGTATTTTCTTTCAACTATTGAAGTTCTGTAAGAGGGATCACTGAGAAATATTGTAAGAAGTTGTAGTAATGTTACTTAATAGAGTGTCAAGTAAATGTTTTGTTTTTTTTTTTTTTAATTTTTAAAAAAGTAAGTAGATGAGGATACACACAGGTGCAGGGAGAAAATTCTGTCTTACTGTTCATCACTTCTGTTTATTTTTCTGTTGTATATTTTAAGTTGGAAAGGTTAACTAAAAGTGAAGAAAAATTATTGTTTTAATAATTATTACTCTTGTTATATTAGAGTATCATTTGCAACACACTTAGGATGGAAGCACGTTCTGGATGTATCCTTGTCTTATTTAAGTGGGATAGTATGTCTTAAAACATTTATCTATTGTGATTTTTCATCCTCATTTTCTTCAATCTTTTGCAGCTGGCTGCAATAAAACTTGGCCGATATGGAGAAGATCTCCTGTTTTATCTCTATTACATGAATGGAGGAGATGTATTACAGCTATTAGCAGCAGTAGAGCTGTACGTTCAAACTATTTTGTCAGTCTTATATGATTTAATCTATTGCAGTAATGAAGTAGTGGATGTAAAAAGAACCCCAACAAGTTAGGCAGTGAAAACAGAAGCTTAGTCAGTCTGAAGCTGGAAACCTTTTTTAAAATACCTCCTCCAACCGTGATTCCATTTTGTGCTTTTTTTTTTTTTCCTATTCATATAGCAGAAATCACAAGTCTGTCTCATAAATTTTGCATTATTATGAAGCACTGGGAAAAAGTGGCAAGTGCCAGTCATCGTTAAACATCTCACTTATCTTCAGCAAAATGAAAACCAGTAAATAATCATAAAAAGAATTTGTTATTTGAACCTACCAGACTTCTTAAAGTTTCATATGTGCTTAGTTTGAGGTGTAATAATTGCATGGAAGAGGTATGAGATGGCAGGTATAGCAATGTCTTAGAAATTTTGCTTTAGTTTTGATTGGAACACTTGAAATTGTATTTTATGAAGTCAAATTCAGATAACTAACACTAAAAATTATTTTTCCTTCTTATTAAAAATGAAAGATTTAACCGGGATTGGAGATACCACAAAGAAGAACGAGTATGGATCACCAGGGCACCCGGCATGGAGCCAACAATGAAAACCAATACGTACGAGAGGGGAACATATTACTTCTTTGACTGTCTTAACTGGAGGAAAGTAGCTAAGGTATCTCTTTTCCCACGTGCAGATTTTTTAAGTCTGTCAACCATGTATTTTTAAAAAGACAAAAGTAAAACCCAACCTCCTCCTCAAAAATAGCAAACTTTTAAACATCCTATTGTTTAAGTTCATTATCTTAATGTCTGGGGTGTGAGGCAATAGAGATTGCCTAAAACACTGGTTTATTCATGCAAAAGGAGATGTCTCTCTATTGGCTGTGTTCTTTGGGAGGTACAAGGATGTAGAACTTAGGAGTTTTGTTCAGATGGAAAGCTTTTTTTCAAGTACAGAATTATAGACTAGAAAGCATTATTTGGCACTTGAGAAACTGTGCTTGCAGATATTTTATTGTTTTGCTTTAGAAAATTCAATAGGGAACTACCTCATCTGACTCTGGAATTAAAAACAGGTATGGGAAGTGTTTTGAGGGGGGCCTGGGTTTTTTATTTTGTTTTGGGGTGGGTTTGGGTTTTTTTCCCAGATACTGTCTCTCCTTGAGCATACTGCAGGACTTCTGTGCTGTTTGAACTTCAGAGTACTTTGAAATAAATCACTTCTTTTAGGGTGGAGGCATATTTTCATAATGCTTCTTTTCTGTATTCTAGGCTAAGGGGCATTAAAAAAAATCTGAAGGCTACGGTGTTCTCCCTTCCCACTTCTGATAATCTGTTTGCCCCTTTCTGTCCATGAATAGTGTCAGTAATGTTCACCCTTTACTTGTTAGCTGAAGAAATTAATAGAATTGTGCTTAATTTTCTCCCCTTCCCCCAAAGATAATAAATTTTCAGTATCTTCCAGCTTCTAAGGCCATCTGACTTCCAATTCCAACTTTTAAGACCATCTTGTACAGTGCCTTTTCCTTACTGCATCCCAATTTCTATGATTTCTCATGTCCACTAAAACAAAAGAATTTTCTAGTGCAGATATGTGTGCAAACATCTGAGAAATCAGGAACGCTAACATTCCCTAACCTGGCAAGAGGTGATCTCTTCTGAAAAGAGCCTTCCGTACAAGGTGATACATTCAGCTTCAGCTGGAGCTGAAAAAAAGATGCGTTCACAATATAGACACACTCACTATACTTACCCAGAGTCTGAGTTAAGTAGTTAGTTAAGAATCTCATTCCCCACTTAAGCTTGCTTATATGAGATTTTATGGATGTGGCATGATATTGCTTCACGTTTTAACCGATGTATTGGACTCATCAATGAAAGAGCAAACATAAAACTTTCACTTCAAACCTTCTGTAGATACGGTGTCACTCTCTTGCTTTTCTCTAAAAACACTTAACAGATCAGACTAGATTAATCTGGAAGCCTTGAACTCAGCAGATGTGATTCCAGCATGCTGGAACCTATGTTTTGTGGTTCCATGTACTTAGGTATTTTGTTTAATCAGAAATCTTTTCACCTGGAGCTTAACTTACAAATTGTTTGCTGAAAAGGCATTTCATTTCTGTGAGCCAGTTGCATCTATACACTTGGAGATTATGAAATATTTCATCAAATAGTTACATGTCTTTTGATGTGTTTTTAAACATCAGCTTTAAATTAAAGGGAATGAAGTTCATTTTCCTCCCCTCTGTTAAGTGCGTTACATTTCTTCCTAGCCAGTATATTGAAGTTTGCAGTCTTGTAGAGATTAATTAGATACGATGCTCTTTCTTCTTTCTTCCCGTCTCCCCCCAGTAAATGTGCTTAGTCTGTGCAAGCTCCCCTCAGAAATTAATGTCTTAGTTGCCCCAGATGATACGGGGGGCTCTTGAGTCCATTTGCGTGCATGACTTGTTGCCTCTGCTGCCTTTCCTGTGATGGTAAGAAAACCAAGATTTTTAATAGCAAGCCCTACTTGTATAGCCTTTCATATGTGCAAAGTAATGCCAGAACTTGTGAGCAAAAACATCACTCCCCTCAAAAGAAAACCCAAACTAAAGGAAAGTTTTACTTTCTACTTGAATTATTTATATGCTGCTTGGTATACTTTCTTAGGCTTCCCATGACACCGTTTAAAGCTATTGTATTGTTATGTAAGATCATCAGAGGAGAAGTAATTACCTTTTGCAAGGATAGATTTCTTCTTCGGAGTCAACTGAATATCTTCCATTTATTTATGAGCAATAAGAGCCTCATGTAGATTCATGTGTCAATGGAATTAAGTTTTTACCCTATGTGGAAACATTTCTTTTACTAGGAGGAAGTGGTGCCCATTGTATAAGCATAGTAACCTCTTTAGTGTCTCTTTCTACCTGTAGTAAATGTGTGAAGCTGCTACTTGATGCTTAAGCATTACTTTTGAAAGCAGTATTTTCTCTGTTTGGAGTCCTGAGTGCTGTCCTGAAATTCAGCACCCAGTGCTTGAGTTGTTGATTAGCATGCTACATCTGTCTTTTAAAGAGTAGAGCTGGCTTCATCTAGAAGGCATTCCTAAAAAACAGTGAAAGAGATGAGAATCACTACTCTTCTCCGAATGATTTTGCCCAAGATCTACACAGATTCTCTTCTCTTTGCTTTGCATACTGAAAATGATTCCCCCAACATTAAGAGGCAATGAATAGCTAGTAAGGAGACAGACAGTATTTTCGAAAGTTTTGCACCTGCAGCAGTAAGCTAACAAGGAACATGATCTCCCCTGCCCCCAGTGTCCGTAGGAAGAGACACTATCCTTTCTGCTAGGCTTGTGTATTTCTTAATGCAAAAATAGGAATTGGAATATTATTTTGAAATTTTTATTTCATTTTAGTTTGATGCAAAATACAGCAAGCAAGTTGAGTATTGTTCACTGGAAGCTAGACAAGGATTTGGGGAACTAATTGCTATTTTGTTATAGGGAAAAGGAATCACTTGCTAGAAATAATTCAGTGATGTTTCCATCTGATAAATAAATAAGAACTTAGATGTATGTCAGGTGTGATATTGGCGTTTTATGGTGCTGCTGTTACCTCTGATCTTAATTTCTGGAGTTGACATTTCCTTGGAGGAAGACTAACATAGATTTACTGTAACAAGAATGGCAGAATTTAATAACTCTGTGTTGCTTTGAATGCAAAGAAAAGTACAGCCAAGTAATTTTTTGAACAAATGCAGCAAGTATTAATTAATGTTTCAGGAAATTAAAGATATAAGAAGCTGGGGAGAAAAAAGGAAGAATTCTGATAAATTGCAGTCTCTTACTATAACTGCTACGTTATTAGTGAATACTGGGAATATAGGTTTCTTAGGAGACCACAGTAGTAATTGCTGCTTAACGGTTTCATTAGTCCTTTTTCAAAGCAGTCAGACAAGAATTTTTTCTGGTAAATGACTCTCTCTTGTGTGTGCAAATTAAATTGGTTTTCAAGGTACTTTAGAAATTTGTCTGTTGTTTAGTGTATATCCTTAACTATAGGGCAGCATGTATTTTAATGCATTGTGCTTTGCAGACAGGATGCATTATGAGCTTACGTATTGACTGTACCTATTTTACATTATACTGCATTACGACAGATACAGTGAAATACAACTATTTACTTTGGATAATATTACTAAATCTTAAGACTAAATTTCTGAAAACATAAACCAGACATGATTTAACAGATTTTTTTGGTAGTGTCCTAGCTTGGTTTTAACAAAGCGCAGTAAAACAGACTGAATAACTTCTTTCAAGGAAACATATAATATATTTATCTTTTCTTATTAAGCTGTAGGCTCTATTTTTATATTCCTAATAGATAATAGACTAAAGAAGGAAATGCAGCAAAGTAACTGAGTCGTGAGACAATTCTTAAACTGTTAAGAAATAAAATAAATTCTGTGTTAATAGGTGGTAGTAAATAGTGAAAAAACATGAACTACAGTAAACTTCAAATTCACCTTAAATGCAAAACAAAATGCAGGAAAGTGCTGATTACAGATATATCTGTGTATATGGTTTTTCATCCTAGGGCATGTGGAAAGTACAGTATAGTTAAAGACACTTTGATTTTTCACTGAAGATTTGGGTATATAGTTTGCTGGTGTTGAGGAGTCATGAGAGAGAGACAAATGAGAGAGGAAGGGAAGTGGATGAGAAACTAAAAATGCCTTCTGCAATTGTGCATTTACTGAAATCCTCATTTAAGTAGTCTGAAGTAAACTGTCTGGAATTTCTCCTTTGAAAAGTAAGGAGAATTAATCCAGTGTAAGGAACAAGAATATAAAACCCTTTTACTTTGATTTTATAGTTATAAAACGTGGAAATCTTTATGGGAGAGGTTAAATTTCCAAGTGTTTATTTGCTTGTAAGAGTTGCTGCCTGTATTAAATTGCTTCCTATCCTTTTAAGATCAATATTAATTGAAATACTTTTGTAATTGCTAGAAAGTTAAATTTGTTGTTCTAATAGAGATGTGCCATAGCATTTTAATTCAGCCCCTAATTTAAATTTGGGTCTTTGCATCCATCTTTAAGCCGGTATAAACGCTGCTTTTTTGGGCTCATTTGGAATTTTGAGCTAGCCATGGAATTTCTGCCGTCTCCTTTGATGGACTTAAAACAATCCAGAATATTTTGTCCTCAGGGCACTTCCTATTGGGCTAACTCTTTGTCTTGTTTTACTCTATTAATGCTATGGATCACCTTAAGCAATGCTCTTCTGTCTTGAGTATTCTTACCAATTATTGTTTGTACGGGCACAGGCTGATGTAACTTTACCATCAAAACAAGTTTTCAGAATGGCGTGAGAAGTGATTGATTTCTTTGCATAGAACAATTTATTCAGCGTTGCATGTGTGCTCTTAAGTTTACATACACACTTAGTGTTCATTATTCTTGGTTAATAAAAGGTATTTAATAATTACTTCCATGTGGAAAATAAAACAATTTAACACGTTTGTCAATGGATAAATGGCATTTTTTTAACATTTTATTTGTATTTGTTTATATTAAAAAATATATCAGTGCTACTGTTCACATCCTAAACCACAGTGGCCCCTGGAATCAAAAGCAAAACCATAAAATATACCTGTAATACAAGTATTTTTCTATATGTAATAAATAATTGCATCTTAGTTTTCAAAAATATTTGGTCAATGAGTTCTTTTTTTGGTATTGTCAGATATAACTTTAGGTGTTCTTATACCCTACTGAACATTAGACTTGAGCATTGCTGACACAGGGATGCAAATCAAAAAAACTCTGGTTTAAGCCTGTTTGTTTTAAAAATCAATGGCAGTTTGAAGTATCAACTCACGTGCTTCTAAAGAAAGTTTGGTAGGGAATTGTATTCCTTCTTCTAAATGAGGGGCTTTCGATTTGTGGCACACAAAGGGCTGCTGAAGCTACTGAGCGTTTCTTTCAGACACACACCTTGCTTGCAGCTACTACTGCCAGTAGAGACACAACCACCTTAGGTCTGGAAAGCCCTTTTTAGGCTACCAATACTGTCTTGCCAGTTTAAGTAGCCAGTATAGGGTAATCTTGAAGGCATTTCAGAGCATGTGGAGGTTCAGGTAGCTGACTGAAGCTGACCATAGATTGGCAGTAATCTGCAGACCCTTCCATAATTATGTGCAGAGTGGAAACTTTGAAAGCCAAGTATGGGAGAGAAGTTAGGGTGATATTTTTTTCTGTTATAAAATAACTTCAGAATTACTGAAGATCCACCCAGCCTAAACCAACCTTTGACATCAAAATACCTGCATAGATTTGTACACCTTGATCTTGCTTCTGACAAAAGGAGGGAGCAGGCGTCCTTTCAGTATCAGCAGGTGTGTCTGTATCTGCACAAGAAGAAAATATAAACCCGACTGGCATGCAGTGTTAATTAGAAATGCCAAAAGCAATTAACTTGTATATGTAACTTAAAAAAGCCCAAACAAAAAACAAACCACCACCAAAAAACCTCCACTCAATCAAAAAAAAAACAACCTTGGTTGGAGCAGAAAGTGGGGAATCAGAAATGAAGCAGATGTGCAACACTTCAGTGCAGATGGCTGTAAGCTCACATGGGTTTTGCTAGGATTTTCCAGGTCTAGGGACAGTGTGCTCTGGAGAATGAAGGCCTTCTGAATGCTTAGCATTTTTCTCTAGTTTGTTTCCTTACCATGCTGAATGTTCTTTCTATGCTAGATGGACCTTGTTTTGTCTCCAAGAAGAGAGGTCCGGGAGTTGGATTACTTAGATTTTCTTTCTAGTCTTGCTTTGACTTCAATTTAGTTTGTCTACCTGTAAAAACTGAAATATTACACTATTTAATCACGTTGAGGAGTGTTCTAAAATGATCAGTTCACTACTCTTAGTGTTTTCATGTGTATGTAAAAATAGCAGGGTAAGTTGGCTCTGCAGATCCAGATGTCATTCTGCTGAGATTCTCCGCTGAGTTAGGCAGAATAAATCACTGTGGGTGTCCAAGGTAGCTGTTGTTGAATTACCGTGAAGTACCCTTAATCAACAATTCTGAAACTTCCGCTGTTTCTTGAGTGAAGGTAAAATGGAGATGAGACACAGTTAAATTGCTGAAAGGATCTGAAAAATAAAAGATTTAAGTAAGTCCTTGTACATTTTTGCATGAATGAAGTAACAAGCACCAGATGTCAAAGTACGCTAATTAGGGTTGTGTGCACAAATTAAGGTCACAGGGAAGGAAGCTGCTTTTTTCACTGTAATAATCAGGGTGCATTTAGACATCAAGGGTAGTTGCAATCTGGTTTGTAGTATCTGCTGTAGTCAAAATAAGAATTTGTACTGCATCACCGAGATGTTTTGCAGTTTTGCCAACCAGATGCCCTCAAACAAAAGTAGGGTGACTGTGCCAGTGAGGCAACAAAGCTGCTTATTTGTGAACCAGTAGCTTGTGTGGCATCTGAGTAACATGGGCAAAGATTTTTCTTCTGTGTGGTTGTTTGTAAAAAGCTGAGAGAATTTCTTATGAAAGATGCTGGTGAAGTGTGATACAGGAGCAAGGAGCCCAAGGTACAGGAGGGTTGGGTGAGTCTGAGGCTTAAATCTGAGTATGAAACGTGGTGGAATATTTTGTTAAATTCTGGTTTAAGTACATCTCAGTACTTCATCTTTACCGTTTTAGATAGTATTCCCAGTTTTGTTCTAAGAAGGAGAAACCTAGCTAGTTTAACTTACAATTGTGCCTGGTGGTATGCCACAAAAAATGCCAAAACTTCAGGTCATCCAGAATCAGTGTCTGTATGTCTGATGTGTTGAAAGACAAAAACTTTTATTCATCGTTGAGCTTATGCTGTGACTATGTGTTTGTGGTTTTTGTATGTGTGCGTATATAAAGGTGTTTAAGATCACAGCTAAGGTTCTGAGAGTAATGTAGCATTAAGAATAGGAGAGCTTACATGTTGCAGGTGTAATGGCTTAGGATATTGACTTTTTTCTACTTAAAATACAGAATCCCAGATAGTGAAATGATGTGTTTCTGCCTTGAGATAAGTTAGGACTTTATCTCTTCTGTATTTGTGCTTTTCAAGTATGGCTGGTAGAAAGACTGGGTCTCGACAGGTAAATGATATGTTGTTTTATTTTTTTTTTGTCTTTTTTATTTTAATTGTAGGAGTTCCATCTGGAATATGACAAATTAGAAGAAAGGCCTCATCTGCCATCAACCTTCAACTACAACCCTGCTCAGCAAGCCTTCTAAAGACTTCCCTTTTCTTGGGGTATGGCTGTCTCAGCACAATACTCAACATAACTGCAGAACTGATGTGGCTCAGGCATCCTGGTTTTAATTCCTTGAGGATCTGGCAATTGGCTCATGCGAAGGGTCACCATTTGAGGTCCTGCCTTACTAATTATGTGCTGCCCAACAACTAAATTTGTAATTGTTTTTCTTTAGTTTGAGCAGGGTCTGAATTTTTGTTTTTGTTTTATTTTTTGCCAGCAGACAAGCTTGGGTCTGTAAAGACAAGCGAGTACACTGACAAAAGTTTACCACTTAGTTTTCCAAAATGTAAAAACAAAAAAACAGAAAAAAGACAAAAAATTAGACAACAAAATTTGCATTGTTCATTGTAGCACTATTGGTAATAAAAAAATGTTTGTGCATTTTTATGTGAAGATCCTTCTCGTATTTCATTTGGAAAGATGAGCAAGGTTTGCTTCCTTCATTTTACTTCCCCTTCTGTTTTTGAAAGGCAGTTTTCGCCAAGCTTAATGCAAGAATATCTGACTGTTTAGAAGAAAGATATTGCCACAGTCTCTGGTTAGTTTCCAGAGTTGTGTATTACTGAGCTTCATCTTTCCAGAATGAGCAAAACACTGTCCAGTCTTTGTTACGATTTTGTAATAAATGTGTACATTTTTTTTAAATTTTTGGACATCACATGAATAAAGGTATGTATGTACGAATGTGTATATATTATATATATGACATCTATTTTGGAAAATGTTTGCCCTGCTGTACCTCATTTTTAGGAGGTGTGCATGGATGCAATATATGAAAACGGGACATTCTGGAACTGCTGGTCAGGGGACTACTTTGTCGCCCTGTGCACTAAAGGGCCAGATTTTCAGCAGCCAAGGACATCCATACCCAAGTGAATGTGATGGGACTTAAAGAAGTGAACTGAGACAATTCACTCTGGCTGTTTGAACAGCAGCGTTTCATAGGAAGAGAAAAAAAAAAAAAGATCAATCTTGTATTTTCTGACCACATAAAGGCTTCTTCTCTTTGTAATAAAGTAGAAAAGCTCTCCTCACTGCAGTGTTGACTTTGATTTGAGATTGTGAAATTATTTCTTCAACAATGAAAAATGGAAAAAAAAAAAGTTGAAGTATTAAAACTATCGAGCTGTACAGTGGTTAAGACACTCGAAGAGTCTTTTTGCTGCTGACAAGTAAATCCATGAGTGTTTTACTTTCTTTTCCACAGTGAAGTTTCCACAGCCAAAAAGTTTGGTTAACCTTGGTTTCACATCCCCTCTCCATAACAGCAAATAAATAATTCTTAGAAAGACGGGTGGGTAACATTTCAAATGATAGAAAAACGCTTCAAGAATTCATCACAGAAGGAACACTTGGAAGCAGCTGGGTTTAGTTAGAACTGATCATAGCTTAGTTCCAGGTTGGTATTTTCCCACTTAAAACAGAACTCCCTTTCATTTGGTGATCACTACTACTTGAACTTGCAGATGCAAACAAACACGAATAGACACTGGTTCTGAAAATTATAACTGTTCTCTAGAGCGGAGGAAGAAAAACCTGACCTGTTTGGATAGTTTCCTTTTTCTTGACATGACTGCCACTTCCTATTAAGTTGCCCCTGGTGATGTAAGACTTTTCAAAATACCTGAAATAACCAAAGCAAGAAAAGACAGAAAAACACGTGTCGGTGAATTGTGGGATTTTATTTTTAGGTTTTGACCTGCGTTTCTACGTAGTGCAAAAACATCTTGTTGACATGTATGGGATTATGCTTGGAAATAGGACCATTGATGGCATTGCTGTGGTTCTGTATCAGGTTTATAGCAATTTTCAATTCTACACTTTTTTATATCTATTTTAGGATGATAGACATAAAAACATAAGCCTATTGATTGTGATTTTTTTATTATTATTATTAAAGCAAACTGCTTTCTCAGCTTGAAAAGAAGAGGACAGTTATAATCCAGATGATGACTAACACAGCTGAAAAAGATGTTGGCTCTTTCTTTTTCTCAAATTAGAGCAGATACAAACATGTATTTGACTATTCAAACATAAATTTATATATTTTAAGAAGGATAGCCTTCCAAAAGCATCTTGCTCACTCCGCAATTAACCTTACATTTTTGTACTTCCAGAGGTCCACTGTGATCTTTGCAATAAGGATTACTGAAATGAAGTTTACATCTTCGAATCAAATGTGATTATTTCTTCTTATATGGCCTTAGGGGTTTTTAAATATCATTTTTCCTCTGCATAGCCAATCTCATGGAAATGAACAACAGATATGGTACAGGGAGCAAGTTAAATTCCATTTAGAATGGTATCTTATACTACCAAATACCTATGATTCTTCAAAAACAATTAGGCTAAAATTGAGAACCTAAGTTCTCCAAAAAGCTGCTTTGATGATACAGTTGTGTTCAATTGCGTGATACTTCAAAAATATGAGGTACTTGATTTTAACAAACTTCTCACCTGTGATCAAGGAACTGGTGCTTTGCTCCTTCGAAGGGGAAGAACAGTCTGGCTCTCGTAGCCGATTAAGTAAGCGTATATGGAGACTTGAAAATCTGTGACTTAATTTCATGTTGCACTCTTGAGTTGAACAAGGAGAAACAAGTTTAAATAGAAAACAAGATATAAAATCGGAAACACTTCTTAGCTGATACCACATTAATTAAAAAAAAAAAGAAAAAAACCCATACTGCCTTTTTTCTGAAAGGAAGAAAACCTCAGCCCTCAGTTATATGTTTACACACGTGGCAAATTGGCAACTGAATTGACTTGGAGCTTTTTAACACTGACAATTAACATCTGAGGCTTTTTTAATATGTCTTTACATTCCACTAACACTAGGAAGAAGGGGAAAGAATGGAATCCAACTTTAAAAATACATTTGTTTGAGTTGGGTTTTTTTCCCCTTTTATTAGTGTTGTACAGTAACCTGCAAGGTAAGTTCTGAGTAGTAAACCCAGTGTTCTTGGAAACAAGTAGAAGTGGTGTTCTCATTTCTGCCTTTTGACACACTCTTGCATTCATCGCTCCTTATTGCGTATTGTTTATAAATCTTTATCGAGTAGTTAGCTCGTTTCTCTGGAAACCCACTATCCTGAATTTCCAGAGTTAAAATGAGTTTCGCACACTTGATTATCCCGAGTATTGCAGAAAACACTCGCAGTTGTTATTTTAACAGTTACTACTCAAACCACCCTGCTTGTGGGAAAATCAAGGGTACCAGGGAGTCCCGGAGGAAGGAGGCAAGGACATTCCACCTGGATGTTTAAAAATGAACGAACAAACAAAAAAACACCCAGGACTCAATCTCCTCTGCTTTAATACCTGGTGCCACAAATACTTAAGCACGTGAGAACCTTCATGGGCTTGATTAATCTAATTGAAGACCCAAGTAATCCAGGGAAGCACGCAGACACTCACATGAGTAAAACTATTTTGCACGTGACTGTGACCTCTGTTCAAGTGTCAGGGTTCAAGACTGACCACACCGCTCTTTCACAGACGTGACATCTATATGGTACAAAGACGTATAATCGTATCGCTTTGCTGCGTGTCAAGTCTGAAATCTTCTCTATCCCTAAGCCAGTATTTTTTGTACTTCTCTTTCTGTTTTATGATTTCCATGAAAAAAATACTGAGAATGTACCTAAAATAAGAACATATGTATTGTAGTCAGGTGCAAAATTGCTTGCAGAGTGCAGAGGGACTCTTTCTGTTGACTGTGAAGAGACCATAAACCATCTTTGGTAGGACCTAAGTGGTGCTGGAAGGCATAGAGAGCTATGAGGCAGTCAGCTCCATCCTGCCAGGCCATGGCTATTGAAGAAGGGTGTTCAGTTTCTAAATAACATTGGTTTAAAGGTATTTGTCACCTTAATTATTTTTTAATTAATTCTCCATAACTTCTGATTGAAAGTACTTCAATGGCTGGGTATTGACTGCAACAAAAAAGAAAGTTTTGTTGCCAGCTGCCATGCTCGAGAAGAGCTTCTGAGTGCACAGTTCTCATGAGGTAGCTAGACAGTGCTTTTGATTTAAGGTACTGAATATAACAACTACTTCCATTAAAACAAAATTTCCGAGTGTGATTAGTTTTCAAATACCCTACCCTTTCATCATGTTCCTTAACATTTACCACTGCCTAAAAATTATATTAATAGGACTTAAATTCTGGTAAAGAATGCAGATTGGGCTAAGCCATCTGGATTGAAAACATGCTTTTATTTTCATATAAAAATTCTCTTAGTACAAGAATTAAATTGGTGTAGCTGTTTTCATTTCTCCTTTGATAAGCATGCGTGCTCTCATGTCCACAAATTGGAAAGCTTCTAGTACACTTAAAAAAAAAAACAAAGGAAATGGAGCTGATGACTTATTTTGAAACTGGTTTGAATTACTTCAGTAAGTTCATCTCCTAAAACCACTTTACTGTTGAGGTTAAACTTTATTTTGAAAGTAACACTAAAGTACATCGAACGATAGTGTTGATATTCCTGATTCAACCTACTTCAAAACTAGCGGTGCTAACCAAGCTTCCCTATTATTTTCCCAGACTTCAGTTTATCATTTGCATTTCGTATTCCCTTGTCGATATTAACATGCTGATATTGGAGGTGGGTATACGTAAGAATTT